ATTTAAACGCATTCATTTCAAAATCAAATTAATAAACAATATTCATTTATCAGCAAACTATGGAAAGGCCAATGTTTCATTAATTTTCTCCACAACAAACGTTTCCAATAGATCGAAACGCAATATTCTACAGGACTCTCTCAAGCATTGGCCTCGTGAGCACGAAGTTTGGCAGAAAAAAAGAAAGAATGCCGAAGGGTTATACACTTAGTGTTCTGGAGAAATGCCATTGGCACACGCAGAGAGATAAGGAGTGCCATAGGAAAGAGGTCAGGCGAGATTTATTGATGTTAGTCGCGAAAATGACCTTAGCGCGTTGTTCGGGAGCGTCTATAACCGCTGGTTTCACGTTGAGATACCAAAAGGGAAAGAAAATATTAGTCCGCATGAGAGCGAGTTCTTTGGAACTTCGTATTTGGTACGTTTCATATACGTTTGGACGAGGAAACGGATTTTCAACTAACATTGACAGTTTATCATAGGTAATGCCAGGAGTGCTGTGGAAATTGTCCAAATTTATATGAGGATTTCCAAAGCACGAGTAGCATTTTATAGGACTATTGCACAAGTGAAATTATGTCTAGCTGAGTTTCAAAACGCGTTAAATATTGAAAATAACTGAATGCTATGTTAAAATCATATAATTTATGTTATTGTACGTGCGCGTTTAGTAGACAGCGACATATCAATCTATGTACAATCCTAAGATAGATAAGTCACAGTTTTTGATTGGCCAGTAAGTAGATGCGGTAAGGAAAATCAGATAGAAAAAGCGATAACCATTTCAAACCGGCCTGATTGGGGCATATTGTATGTATAGTTAAGCACTACTTTTTTAATTTCACGAATGGAATAGTCAAAGTAATTTTAAACAATAAAACATACTGTGCAGACTAGATTCAAGAACTAAATTTGTTAATAACGCAGATGTGTACATAAGATGATTTAACGATTTGTACCCAACATTTTCTTCAAAATAGTTTCCTTTCGCAGTTAGACATTCTGTCAGTGCTTGTAAAAGTACTGAAAACGTTTCCAGAAGCCACTTTGCGATAATAGACTCATTTGCAGTCACTTCTTCAGCGTTCGAGAATCTTCGCCACTCTTAGATGAGTTTTCAGCCGTGGAAAAAGACCTAGGTGTCTATCTACGATCAAAAATCTTGTCATTGTCGGGACTCTAACCTTAGGATCTTCAGGCTAGAAGCATCACACTGGCATCTGATGATTCCCTTAGCCACCTTTCCCGGTAATTATGAAGGGAAACATTGCCAACAAACCTCGATACTGGGCAATATACAAACAATATACGAACACTGGAAACAATGATAATAAAATAATTTTCTTCATGGAATGGTACTTTTCATTTTTTATCATTCACTCTTACTTCATGGAATGGTAAAGTTTTTACATTAACATATTGTATAGAAGAAACCTGTAACCCTTTTAGTAGTTGGCGTTGAAACTTTTTCCCCACCACAAATTGTAGCATACACGAGCAACTTCTCTGAACGATAAAGAGCTTAACAGAAGTGATAAAAAATACGTTTTGTTTTACTAAGATAACGTGTAAGTAAACACAAGAAATGTTTTAATGGTTGCTATTCAAAACGCGTGTTCTGCAACTGTTAAACAACGACCTCGTTCTTTAAATCCGCCACCCGCGGTCGCTAAAGTCGGAAGGAGCATGCATCTCAAAAAGCGCGAGACCAAGCGAGGAAGAAAAGAATAATAATGGTAGAAAATTCTGTAGGGTTTATGTGTTATTAAAAGATTCCTCCTGATATTTCAAATAAAACGCTCCAAACGGGAGAGTAACAATATCCCTTTTATCAAGGACAACCAAACTAAAGTCGATGCATGGTAACCCAATAGTCTCATTTTGTGCTTTTGATTCTCCACACACATCACAGGAGCGTGCGATGAATACAATAGTTTGATTTGTTTTGTGTCTCGAATGCAGATATCATTTGCTCGTCCGTAGTTTCCGAGCATTGGCAGCGCAAACAGACGCTCTTCAAATTAATGCAAGCCAGCAAATGCTGTCCGTGGCTATGCTCTATTTCCTAGCGTTCCCTTTGAACATATGCCAATACTGTGAATTGATGGAGATTAGCACTACATAGAGAAAATAATATTTACGGTGTCTCAACATAAATTCCAATTCCAGATCACACTGTAATCGTTTTTTGAATACATTTCTTGCTGTTAGATAGTACTTAAATAACGTGACTAATTAAAGAGTTGTATTATAACGTCAAGCGAATAATAATACAAAACCAAAAATTGCGGTAGAGTAACAATAATAGAATGTTTGCGAATACTTAATGAATAGGAATGTAAACATTTCCTCAGCACATCCTACATTGGATATTTTTTATTTTTCATAAGCACACAACCTACTGTGATGATAATACGTTGTTTACTTTAGCCACACTTTTTTGCTACGTATTGGAAGTAATAAAAAGTATGTCAATTAAAAATACTACTAATGAAAACTTCATCTTAAAATTAGATAGCATTCAATCCCTCTGTACTTTAACGATTTTTCTTATTTCTCTGAGTTTACACGACAGATCTATTTTATGTTCAAGTGAGTTTGGATGTAATATTCTTATATATCTGCAGGGGGGATTACAGGTATCGTATATTGGTAATCAATAAGTGGAAAATGACGTTCGTCTATTGTCATTCCCGAAGCTACCTGGCTTTCAAAAGAAGATACTTGTTGCTACGTAAACTTAATTATACCTTTCTAGATAGCAAAGTTAACAAACAAACTACCTACTGGAAAAGCTGTATACGGGAGTGATTACGGAGTGTTGCCTCCCGAGCCAGCAGCCAGCCGCAGAGCCTTCCAAGGCAGCGTCGCGCAGCCTCCTTCGTCTTCCGGTTATCTCGGCGAGGGGCGCTGCGCGACTAATTCAGCCGTTACTCCTCCGCGAGGTCAGATTTCCGGATACAAACCGCCCCACTTAATGCGGCGGACCGCCGCCCAAGGAACTGAACTTCTTAGCGGGCAGGCGCGGCCGGAGCCTAGGCCCAGAAAACCGAGACAGCGTCGCGGCGCCGGCGGGACTGTGAAGGGAAGGGAGGGAAAGCACAGGCGGTGGTAATACGAGCAAGGCGCCCCTCCCAAGCCCCTCCCCCGGGGCAGCTGAAAGCGGGGCAGCGGCGCGCCCCGCCAGAACGCAAGCAAGACGGCCGGACGGGAGGAAGAGATGGCGATGGCGACGCAAAATATGAATCACGAGCTTCCTCGATGCTGGCAGTAGCGAGTGATGAAGACGGCGAAATTGGATTAAGAAATGACAAAATAACAGTCAATTAAAATTCTCACTCTTTATTTTCCCTCTTTCGTACGTCTAAACAAAATGAAACGAAAATGAATAAATGCAGCATCAACAGAGATTTAAGAAAGCAAGAGCAACAGTGCTGAGCGAATAGCGTTGAAATTCATGTAGGGATAAGAAAAGGAAGAGAACGAAGGAAAATATGAAGTTAACGCAGAGGTAAGGGAGTTAATCAAGGCTTGGGCATAAAATGTATAATGAGGACAAAAGGGATTATCTAAAAAGAAACGGAAAAACAAAAATATTCCACAAGACTGAACTATAGAATCTAAATAGGCACGAAAGAATTAATACAAATGTAAATATTTATTAGACAAATTTAATCAGAATCTCAATGGCCAACCGGTAGTAAGATATCTGAAATGATTGAAAATTAGACAAATAGAGTGATAATCAGTGGGTGATTGAAAATAAAACGCACGAGTGTTGTAAAACCGAAAATGCAATTGTTAAATGCTTGCGGAAATGATTTGCAAAAGAATAAAATTCAGGGGGGATAAGAAGTTACAGTGTCCCATATAAAAAGAATAAATTATCAAATACCGCATAAAAATGAATATTTATGCATTACAACAAAATGTGTGACAGGGAAGAACAAAAAAACGCCAACGATAAAAAACCGAACGACCAAACGACCGAATGAATGAAGAGATTGAGAGCGATCGACCTCATGCCGCTGTGAGTTCAGCCACTGTGAATTGGAGAGGCCGGCTGCTCTGATCGGTAGTTTCCCGTGGTTTCCTAAATCAATACCAGGTGAATACCAGAGCAGTGTTGTAACAAAAGGGGACTACGGACCGCTTGCAATCTTTCCTTCCTCTCCTCACCCCTTCCACATATTTTCATGCACTATATCACCACACATGTCGGGTGGAATCTTAGAACTTGTCCCGGCTGGGGCGGTGCCCCGCTGGTGGGATATGCTGCGACGATGAAACCCGGAAGTGGACGTGCAGTCGGCGCCGAATTTCACCATCCAGCGGGGGGAGGAATCTCTGCCCTGTCCCGTGGCAAAAACATGCACTGTTCTTATGGGTATAATGACCATTGCAGTTCTTGCGTAAATCCGAAGTAATCAATCAAAGGAGAGCTCGATCCATGGCCAAACAGAGGCGGAGTGACGGCCGCGGCCGCGGAGTGGGAGCTTAAGGGTGGTTGGAAGATGGGAGGGCGTTTCAAGTGGGAGCGAAAAGGTAAGGATGAAACAATGCCGTTCCAACGAACAACAATGAAAAGATTGGGGCGAAGGCGCTAACGATATGTTAAGGGACTAAGGAATAGTATAGGTAGGAACGTAGGGAAACGAGTGAGAGGGACTGGAGATATGATAGAAGCGAGGAAGTGGGCTTGATAATGACTAGTAACGGAGGAGGAAAACCTCTAAGGAGGGGATGGAGGACAGAGAGAATGTAGTTCTGTGCAGCCTGGGCGGTGAGAACGGGGTAGGAAATGTGAGGCGATGTGACCAGAGCCATAAGACCAAAATAATTAGGGAAGGGGTGGAAGTTTGTTAACGTGAGAGCGTGGGTTTGGAAAGGGAGGGGACGCAACGGCGGGAATAGAAAGATGGAGCGACGTGCAAAGTACCACATGGACGGTGTGGTGTTTCCCAGTGTGGCAGGTGGCTGGGGGCTGGGACCCTCCGGCAGGGAGACCTGGTTGGGTGCGGGAGCGGAGTCCGAGGCTAGGTTGGAAGTGGGTGGCCGTGGGACAGAGGCGGGACGGAGGCGGGGGGAAGACGATGTCAGGCGGAGACGGAGAGGTGGTGGTTGTGGGGGAAAGTGGAGGGAAGGTGATGACAGGGCCGCTGGCGGAAGTGAAAGCGGGGGCAGAGGCTGGACCGCGGAGGCAGGTGGGGCGGCAGGGCTGAAGGCGATGTCAGGGCCGGTGGCAGAGGTGGGACGGGGACGGTGGCAGGCCTGAGGCGTTGGTTTGGCAGTGGACGACCGTGTGGAGGCAGGGCTGGAAGTGAGGGCTGGGGGAGGGGCGGGGGAGGGGCGGGGCGGCGCAGAGGGGTGTTGGAGGGAGGGGAGCGGGGTCTGGCGCTCAGGGGCGGAGGTGGCGCCTTCTGCGATTACGGCGCTCCGGAGAGCCGTGATGGAAAGCGACGAGTGTTGTCGCAAGGAAGGGCTGGCGAACGTTATAGCAATCAATAAAAGGGGTGGACTTAATTACCAGTGGTGTTAAGTTAATTAAAAAAAAAAGGGGATAGCCCCGCGATTTAAGTTATTTATGTTCGGCGGTAATAAAACTTTTCGCTAATCATCTTCATGGACGTATAGCGCGTCGGAGATTACATCTCGACCAGATTAATACCGCGTCGGTCGTCACGAGGAACGCGTTCTTGAACATCCTGGCGAAGACAATGTGCTGATGAATAAGCATTCTACAGGGGCATTTACACGGAATTTATATTTCTTAATATTGGTGAGCAGGAAATAATTTTCTTCTTATTTAGAGACAAAATAATTTTAAATCATTTAATAAATTTTTGATACTTGCCGTCTGAAGTTCTTACTTTTCCATTATTGTATGTTATCAAAGTACAAATCCAAATGTAAATCGCTATCCAGTTTATTGTACACTGGTTATGTTACAGAATTCGTAAGTAAAACCTCGGTTCATTAACACTAATCGTTACAAGATCTGTTTTAAGTCATATACCGAGAGCTAATGGAACCCAATTTTCATCTTCTAAATTAGAAGAAATGATGTTTTTATCATTATTATTATTCTCACATATTTAATTTCAAGCTATTTCAAAATCGAACTCAATAACTTTTTATTGGTTAAGGTTTTTAATGGCTGCACTCGTCTTTTAAATACTTGATTTTATGAAAAAATTAGTGCTGGTAAATAATACAAAGTTTGGTAACACGAAGCATAAAAGCATCCGAAAAATTAAAGTCAGCAGTAGTCATAAATAAATGGTGTGCCGCTTAATTGTAATGAAGCAATATATGATAGCGCAATATTGGCAGATTCGTATTTTTTTTTAATTTTCCTTCGGTAATATGATTGATCGATTGAATGAAATTAGTGGCAAATAATAGTTGCTCAACTCCTTTCACATACGAAACCAAAGATCATCAGGAATTCTAAAATATATTCAATTCTATGCGAATGTGTTTTGTTACAGAACTACCAATCTGCTTAGAAGAACTGTTACCCTGTAAATGAGACACATCTGTAATTACAAATTTTATTTTCTCCTACAATGGAAAAAAAGCAAACGTGTTGGTACTTTGTTCTCCTCTGACTCTTCAAAAATGAACGTTAGTAATTTTTATAAACTAGAATTTATAATACACAATCTGAAAATGTTATCAATTCGCCAATATTATTTCGTCGTTTGGTTTTTAATTGAATGTAATGCTTTGTTTAGTTTTTATTTCTCAAAAATAATTTTGTTCCTTGGGTGGATTCCACGACAAACTGTGTCATAAGTCACGTCCTCTCCACTCCATCGAGCCGACAGACCTTCTGCTTCCGACCGCGCTCAAAGGGTCCTCGCGCTCCAAATAACGCGACCCCGAATGCCCGGCTCCCCCCCCCTCGACGCCGCCCCGTGAGGGGCACTACGCACCCCGGCGCGGCGCCGGCATCGATCCGCCCGACGCCACGCGCGACGCCATCGCGCCCGCCCCGCGTCCGCGCGCGCCGGCCCTGCGATACGGTGGCGTTCCGGAGGGGTCACTTCGCCGCGCGGCGCGATCTCGGCCACTACGCCGATTCGTCTCCTCGCGCCAAACATAGTCGACTCCCCGTCGCAGACTCGACTCGCGCACCCACACGCCACACTCGGCGCACACCACCGCCACTCGCGCACCCACACCCACTCGCTTGCACCCACACGCCATCGCGCACCCACACGCCAATTTCGCGCACACACACGCCAGTCGCGCAACACCACACGCCATTCCGCACGCCACACGCCACTTGCGCAGCACACGGCGACTCGCGCACATTCGCGCACACTCGACGCCACCGCACACACGCGACTCGCGCCGCCACGCGACGCGCACCTCACACCGACTCCACCAGATCCTGCCTGCACACGATTCGGACCCTGCACCACACGCGAGTCGGACTCCTGCAACTAGACACTCACGTCCCGAATCGGCTCTAGGCACTCGCTCATCGACTTCCGTTTCCTAATCTAATTTAATTTTTCTAATCGACTGCTCCATCCCTAATCCACTCCCGTTGCCAATCCACTCCGCCATCCTAATGCGACACCCTATCACCTCCACCGACTATCGTCAACTTCTAGATCAAACTTCCCTCACCCTAATGACCCTCTCCATCCTAATCGGACTGCTCGATCACGTCCCACCTGTGTGCGCAATTCCTCATTCTGCGCCTGGCACGGGTTTTCGGCCTCAACCGCCTCCACTTCGCGCCTAACCCATGCTTTGCAAATCCACCAGCTCGACAACAGTTCCCACACGCACCCTCCGCAGTCCCCCTTCCCTGACGCTCGACATGCCCTCGGACCTCTGCTGCCGCCCACGACCGTCAGCGCGCTCAGCGGGCGCGTGTCGCCGCGCCGCCCACAACGCAGCCACGCGGCGCCCGGCGCCCTCTGCTGCCGCCGAGCGCGATTACGACGAAGGTCGCCGCCCCCCGCGAGAACCGCGGCGAGCTATCGCGTCGTCTACAGTGCGCAACTAGGCTGCTCCTCTTGGGTCCCGCCGCTGCACGAACTCCCTCCGCGCGGCTGCATCTTGAGTTACTGTGCGTGTAAATGGCAATGGCGTTCGTTTGTCCCGCTAATACTGACAAGCTTCCAACTTTGGGAGTCCAAGAAGGCTAGCAATTAACTGGACTCAGTGAGAAGAATTAATTAGTATATTATTATAGATAATGGAACACTAATTGTAATTATGCCTCAGCGAGAAAAAAAGATGCAAGCTAATAGAAATAAATTATGAAAATATATACGAGAATAATAAGAAATTACCAAACACGTACACTGCACCGTATGTTATTAATTTATTACTGGAATTAAATTTTTGATTTAACCTCCAGACTTGAAGGATATAATCCTCCGACGATGATGATTATTATTATTGTTATTGTTTATTAGCGTCATTGGATTGGTTAACAGCAGAATAATGTATGAGTAAGAAGTTATTTGTGTGATCGGTGGTTTGTCAATGAATATTTCTGAATATCATTGTTTTGAGCCATGACGGCGTAGAAAATAGCTCTGATCTGAATTATACGTACAGAAAAGAAACAGCTATGTTTCATTGTTTTAAAATTGTAACGGACGCCGGCCGAAAGAAACTATATCATTCAGCTATGATTGGTTGCAGTTGATGAACAACGTGCAGTAGCACAAAACAATCGTAAAAGAATGGATGTGGCTTCACGAGGCAACGCACATAAAAAACAGATTCCGCAGAGATGTTAGAAAAGAAGCAGTGTTAACAAGAAAGAGAGATGTTAGGCAAATAATAACGAAGTAAATGAGCGTAAGCAAAAGGAAATTATTGAAGAACGTATTAATCAACAGAGCGCGACAAGAATAATGGGATCTATTATTGCGGCAAATTAAAAAAAGAAGAAAAGCTGAAAGAAGAAAAATCAATTCAAGTAACCAAGAACTATTTACTTGCCTCAAGAAGTCAAGCTCTGGTTGAAAAAAGGGGCAAATGCAAATTACTTGAGTGGGCGCTTCTTCCGAATGAAATAATTATTTTCCACAGTAGGTCTTTTTTATCAAAATAGCTATTTGACTAAACATAAAAAAATACAGTTGCATTTATCCGACACCACTTTTTATTGGTGTGTAAGAGAAGAAACACAATCACAAAAATTTTAAATTTTTATGGTTAATCGGTTTCTTAGAGGTACCGCTTACTTTGCACTCCAAAGACAAAAGAGTTTTTCGTCCTGTCTGCACAAACGCCTGCTCCGCGACCTTTCTGCAACTTCTAGCCGACCGTCTGCCCGCGACAGCGCGAAAGTGCAAGCGCGGAGGTAGGCAGCTTTTCGAGGGAGGGGAGAAGACTGACGTTGCAACAGACGCGGCGCGTAGATTGACTGCGCGGGGCATTTAATGCATGATTCCCATGAGTGAATTTTGTCCCACTTATTTGAAATGTAGATGTCCTGTCTGTAATTTAAACTACAAGGTTAATTCGCTCTGCGTTTACAACACAATATAGTGTTTTGGTATGATATTGAACAACAACAGAATTATAATTTGTTTTGTATTTATTTGAAGATAATAGTAACTTTTCAATTACTAATGTTTAATTTAATAAGATTTTCTGCAAAGATTATAAATACATACTATATAATCTTAATAGCAACGCTTTATTCTGTTTCGCAGGGAGCACACAAAATAAAAGAGAGAACATATAAATTATCTCGAGGAAGAAAAAGAAGCGGGACTCGACTCGATGGTTCGCATTTGTCACTGGAGGCATAACCGGGGGAGGTTCTGCTGGGGCGCGAGCAAGAACCCGTAGACGCCTGCTACAACTGCGCGCGTCGGCGGCAGCAGCGGCGGCAGGGGGGAAACAGGGAAAGGTCGCACTTGGCGATCTAAACCTCCGC